GAAGAAGGTGCTGCCACACTGCGGGCACAATTGGAATAAAGAGAAAGGATAACAATTCAAACAAGTCTTCAATTGCGACCAACACTGGAATTTCCTCGAAGAAGTTACCCAGAAGAATCTTCATTCATAAAAGTGTAAAGGCAGCACCAGACCATAAGGCATGGGGGGACAGATTCATCTGGTACTACGTGGCATGTTGGAAGGCCGGTGATAAAGCCAGGTATAGTGTACAGTGTGAAGAAACCACACTCTCTCAAAAACAAAAATCAAAACGACCCATGTTCTGGCAATGTAACCAGAAACGTGGGTGACAGGTATCTTTATGAAATGACTCTACCAGTGCTTCATCCTAGATGTGAACAATATTTTGAATAGGATGGGTTATAACTTAAAGTTCTGTTACTAGTAGACAATGCCCCTGGTCATCCTCAGTCTGTTGAGGATGAAAAGGAAAACGTCAAGGTTTTACTTTTATTCTCACATACAACCTCATTTCTTTAGCCCTTCCATTGGGACATTATTCAGTTTTTCAAAGCTATGAACATCTACCTAGTATCACATTTAGTCAGCAGTTGATGCAGACCATAATCTAGATGTAATGCTGGAAACTACTCACTATTGCTGATACAATATTTTTAATAATAATATTTAAGCAATAATAATATTAGTCAGTTTTGTGATGGATGAATTAAAACCAGAAGCCGTCAATATCTGCTAGAAGAACTCAGTCCAGAATGATTTTAAAGACTTCCCAGGGACTGATGGAGAAGTCTGAAAAATTATTCGTTGAGCAAGGCAAGTTGGAGAAGCATTGCTGATGTTTGATGAAGAAATGCAAGAACATATTGAAGGTCTTTGCAAAGTGTCAAATGAGGAAATAGAAGAACCTGTTTTGTCCTCTACAGAGAAAGAATAGGGGACGGCAAAGCAGAACCGGCAATGAAGATGCTACCAGAATATGCCAACATCATTCAAATTGCACAGATATTAAAGGACAAAATTATGGAATATGATCCTTGTATGGAATGCAGCATTCATGTCATCTCTCTGATCATGAAACATTAACACTGGATGAAATAAAAAGAAAGAAACAATGATTTCCAATTTCAATGTAATTCTAGAGGGCATCAGCAAAAAGCCCTTCAACTATCAAGGACATCAGTCATTGACATCTACTCCCAACATCCAACTATCCACATCATCATGGCTCAATGATCCAGCATCACCCAAAGCAGACGCTCCACCTAAGGTATTGTCAGAGGTCAATAGTGTCCTACCAGCGTGTCATTCACCTCCCTTCATCTCATCCTGTAGGTATTTATGATCTCACATCAGCACAAGGAGAAGAGTAATATAATAAAATATTTTGAAAGAGAGACCCCATTCCCATAACTCGCACATAGTTTTGCAAAGTATTCTTAACGTAATTCTGAAAATTTTGATTCTCACAAGATCCTTAAAATTTTATTAACATGTCTTTTTTGGCAAATGAAGAAACAAGTGTTCAAAGTTAGACAGCTTTCCAAAAGCTACACTATATGCACAGTGGAGCTAGAACCTGAACCTCATTTTCTAAAACTCAGAATCCCCCACCCCACCCCCACTAGCCTCTTGGCCTGAAAGCCCCACTCTTCTGTGCATTATTTCATGACCACCTGGTGGATCTGATGGATTAGGAGCAAGTACTTAACTTTCACACTGACATACTAGAGGCACAAGAGCAGTGTTTCTGATTCTTTTTGATATTTCTCCTGAGGAATCTTTTTGAATTTTTTTTAATTTAAAACTCCTTTTTAAATTTAAATTTCAACACCTTAGATATACTGTATAGCTAAGTGTGTATTAAATGTATTTCTGTATTTAATAGATATCTTGTCTTTTTAGTTTCATCCCCTAAGGACCAGCCTCCAAGACTTAGGGATTTGTTTCAGCTTCACCCCATGCATCATTGCTTCTGCCCTCTGAGTCAGACTTTTTTTAAATGAAAGGCAGCACATCTTTGCAGCACGTAGTTTTATCAGCCTGTTCCCTGGCAATACAGTTTGGGAGGTACAACAGCCTGCCTTCTGTCCTTCCATTCCAAGTGGACAGTGTGTCTGCTGCAATAAGTATTTCCAAAAACTTTGTTGAGTCTCCTGTGGGTTTCACAGGGATTCACTCCAATTTTAAAAGAGATACATTCACAGACCTTTGCCAAGCAGGACTTTTCTATCTTTGGCTCGTGATAAAATGGCCAAGAGAGAATGCCTTTTAAAAGTCCTCTGATTTGATTGAAATGATCTGTGAGACACTCTTAATCATCCAACAGGGTCTTCAGTGTGACTCATAGTAATATGAGCTTTTGATTTTTCTGAGGTTTTAGCCAAAGGTTTATAGTCACACTCTCAACCTTTTCTGTGAAGTCTTCTTCCCTAACAGTGAATTGCTTAATTTTCATGTCCTTTGCCAACTGAAGAGTATGAGAATTTTTACAGTCATTTGCTTTTTGTGGGGGTTCTTCCCTCCGTGTCTTTCTCTTCTCCCCTTTGCATTTTACTGGAGTGACAAAAAGAAACCAGGTGGCACTTTTGAAACATCACTTGGAAATCACTTGAAGAGTATCACTAAGCCGATTGCTTGTAAGTTCTGCTTTCCACATAACTTCAGGATCCAATTTTGCTAAGCTTTCTGCCACCATAACAAGGATATCTCTCCCTCCAGTTTCCAATAACACGTGTCAGTGGACAGTAACAACTCTGCTTTGAGAAAATAAGGAAATGGTTTATTCTGAGCCAAAATGAAAACCATGCCACGGGAACACAAACGCGAGTCAACAAGGTGACCTCAGGAAGGACAGAGTTCCCAAAGGACCTGATTCTCCCAGGAAGAAGATTGCATAGTTTTTGTACTCCCAGAAGAAAGTGGGTGGGGTCATCAAATTTGGACAACTACAAAAGAAGCAGAGATTCTTCTTCAAGAAAAAGATATTTCAGCAATACCCAGAAATCCCCTACAGGATTCAGGCCCGATTCCCAGCCTTAAGGCCTTAAGGCTAGGATAGGCCCAAGGTCTGTCAAACTTGATACACACTTACCCTGTGGTCACAGAAATGCTAGGTCAGACACTGTCAGAGGGACTAAAAATGGCCCAGTACAACTTTGGCTTCCAATCTGCTCTATCTCCATGAGGTCTCAATGCTTCAATCCGGGAACAACCTGAAATTTCTCAAGTACAAACGCAGCCTGTGTGGAGAACTTCAGTTCACACACATTCCTCCTTTCCTTGGAGTCCTCACCAATGGTTTCCTTAAAGTCCAGATTTCCACTGACAACCTGCTCAAAGCATAGTGAGGCTTTCTCTTCGATGCCATTCAAGTTCTGCCCGTGTCATTCCAGTAGCTAGATCCAAACTACTCCCACGCTTTACATATTTATGATAGCAGCACCTCACTTTCAGATACAAAGCTGTTCATAACAAATGGTCACTGTCTTTGTGGCTTAAAAATACAGACATTTGCTATCTCACGAGTTTCCGTGGGTCAGGAATCCAGGTGCTGCTTAGCTGGGTTCTGTCTTCTTGGTTTCACGGTACTGAAACCAACGTAGCAGCTGGGTGCATTTTCATCCTGAGGTTTGAGTTTGGGAAAGAATCTGCTTTCAAACTCACTGAGCTCATATGACAGGCTCCATCTCGCTGTCGTTGCACAACTAAGGACGCCAGTCTCTCACTGGGTTTTCATAGCTGGAGGCTGCCTGAGGTCCCCAGAGTTCCCTGCCATCTGTGCTCTTACCCTCTTCGAGGCCCTCTAGCAGCATGGCAGCTTCTTTCTTCATAGTTAGCAGGAGAATATCTCTGATCTGCAAATACTGACTCTCATATAATGTGACGAATCATAGATTGACATCCTATCAATTTTGCAAATTCTGTTGGCTAGAAGCCAGTCACAGCATCCAGAAGGGATTATATAAAGTTGTGATTCACTGGGAGGCACCTTAAGGTGTGGACCCTGAAGATGGTCTAATAGGTTGAATAATGTCTTCCTCAGACATTAGGTTTTAGTTGATGGATACTGCAGATGTTACCCTATGTGGAAAAAAAGTCTCTCTGCAGGTGTGATCAAGACCGGAATCTTGAAATAAAAGAATCATCATGGATTATCTGGGTGGGCACTAAATGCAGTGTTTCAACTCAGGTCCTTTGTCACTTTTTCTTTTGAGTGGATTCTCTTTCTTAGATAAGTAAGAATTCTTTGCATAGTCTAACTATCAATCCTATGTCGACTATATGTGTTACTGAAGAAGATAGTTTCTTCCAGTTTTGGTCTTTTTTGTTTTTTGTTTGTTTTTGTTTTTTACTTTGTTAATGAGTCTGCATTCAGACTCATTTTCAACTTTTTTTTATTATCAAAAAATTTTAAACACCCAAGAAAGACGTTTATTTCTCTTACTGAAGCTGAGATAGCTATCTCTCTTGCTAAAGCAGAGTGATAGATACGTGGAAATCTTCCATGTACTCATCTCTCAGGTTCAACAGTAGCTGTCTTCTTTTTCCCCAGAAGTATTCATTTTTTCCTTTAATGTCTGTACTTTTTTGTATATTATGTAAAAAAAATCTTTTAATACAGATTGTGTTGCAGTTATTCATGATAATAGTAATCTATCCTGATAACACTCATTCTTTTTCACTTTTGCTTTTACATGTATGTTATCTTGGACATACTAGTGTTAATATATTCAGAGTTTTAATATATTCAAAGCATCAGCAACATCAGTGCTAATCTGTTTTCTTCTGGAGTAGGCTGACTTTCCCTAGTCAGCACAAGCTGTTGATTCAGATCTTGGGAACTTACCAATTGCTCCAACAACGTCATGCACGTTACCATCGAGCTTACTGAAAATCCCATGTGTCTTTATAAGAAGGCTAGTCATTCAGGAGGTGTCAAAATATAAATCTGAGTCAGATATGCTGGCATTGTTGTTTATGCTAAGTAATTCCTCTCAATTTTTTTTTCTTATTTCTAGTGTGCCAACTGGGCTTGAAGGCATGAAAGAACAGGACCTTTGCAACAAGATAATGGCTAAAATCCTAGAAAATTATAATACCCTCTTTGAAGTAGCATATACAGAAAATGATAATCAGAGGTGTGAAAACCTGGCTAGGCTTATCATAGTAAAAGTAAGTAACTTCGGTGTTGAATTCTCAGTATCACTATAATTCTGATGGAAGATTTTTTTTGAAAATTTTACTTTGTCATAAAAATCTCATTAAGATGCAATTTAAAACTATTATTCTTATGTGTGTAGAGTTCTTCTTATGATATCTATTTCCTCGACTAAATGTTTATTAAGTTAGAATATACTCTAAGATTATTCAAGAATAATTGTGATTTTTATGTTTGCTTGTTGCTATAAAACCATCTCAAAAGGGCTCATGTGAGCCTAGTGTGCGGGTGAATCGGGTGGCCCTTTCTGTGGAAGCCTGTTGTTGTTTCCACAAAAGGCACCTTCTGTGGTATGTCTTCTTGCTGCTGTGTTCGGGTGTGCTGCCCTGCCAGACTGCAAACTCTGAAGGCAACATTCCTCTTTTTGTCTCTCTGGTGGCTGGCACACTTCCAAGCCCAACTTTAGATTTTAAGTCCCACAGAGTAGTCCTTGAAAACTGTCACCAGTAAAGGTCAGTAGTTTAGAGGCCTGTAAAGGAGTCCTTGACAATACTGTCTACATCCTTTTCTGTATTAATAACGTACCCTTTAAACATTAGACAAATGCATGGAGAGCCGTCAGGCCTACATTGGAAAAATCAGAGTATAATTGTCCAGACCAAATTCTCCTGAAGCCGGGAAAGAAGGAAGTCATCTTATTTTCTTTCTCTTTCATGTTATGTAAATCACAAGAAAGTTTCCCTCAGACTGATCAGATCTACAGGCCACACTGTGCTCCTGCTGACCCAAGTGTGATGTCTGATGGAATCAGAGGCACTGGATAGGAGAATCTGAAGGGAGTTTTCGTATTTTCTTCTAGCTGTGGTCATGACTTAGAAGGAGGAAAAGAAAGTCATGGGTATCAAGTAGCACGGCACCAAAGCAGGAAAATAAGATCCATATTAGCTTTTCTCACTAGCATTTATACTACCAATACAATAGACTGCCTAGAATGTGCAGAGTACCTCTTCTGGAATCTGAGAGATGCACTTAGCAGGCATCTTGCCAGCCTGATAGATCTTTAAACTGAAATTTGAGGTGAGTCAAAAACAATACTCAGATAAAATAATAAAATGAGATAACTGGAGAATACCAGGTATAACCTAAGTTAGCAGCAACCTAGTAACTGAAAAACATATGTCCTTGATTCACAAGAGGAAATAAGAAGCACTTCATTCCGTTTCACTATGGAAAAATTAAATAAGTTATTTTTTAAATTGAAAAAAAAAATTCTCCCTTAAGTTTGTTCCTTCAGTGCCTATAATACTTTACAAAGGGTTCCATTTTTAAATATTGAAAGGCAGATGGACCCAGATGCCCTTCAATAGATGAATGGATAAAAAAAAATGTGGCATTTATACATAATGGAGCATAATGCAGCACTAAAAAATGACAAAATCATGGAATTTGCAGGGAAATGGATGGCATTAGAGCAGATTATGCTAAGTGAAGCTAGCCAATCCCTAAAAAACAAATGCCAAATGTCTTCTTTGATATAATGAGAGCAACTAAGAACAGAGCAGGGAGGAAGAGCAGGAGGAAAAGATTAACATTAAACAGAGACATGAGGTGGGAGGGAAAGGGAGAGAAAAGGGAAATTGATTGGAAATGGAAGGAGACCTTCATTGTTATACAAAATTACATATAAGAGGTTCTGAGGGGAAAGGAAAAAAAAACAAGGGAGAGAAATGAATTACAGTAGATGGGGTAGAGAGAGAAGATGGTAGGGGAGGGGAGGGGGGATAGTAGGGGATAGGAAAGGTAGCAGAATACAACAGTTACTAATAGGGCATTATGTAAAATTTTGGTTTTTTACCGGTTTTGTTCTGCAATCTGTATTTGGGGTAAAAATGGGAGTTTATAACCCACTTGAATCTAATGTATGAAATATGATATGTCAAGAGCTTTGTAATGTTTTGAACAACCAATAAAAAAAAAAGAAAGGCAGATGACTTTGTTTCAGCTAAATCTTTGAGAAAAACTTTATAACACTCATACCTTTTTATTAGGACTCATAACATAAACCTAAAGTGTAATTCAAATAGATAAATATGATCTCCTAGGCACAAACTTGCGTAGATACAGCTAATTGCTGGAACACGCCAATGAGAGATGGCATGTTGTATAAAGAAAATGATTATCTATTGAGATAAGAGGAAGGGTGCCCTGCATGGAATTCCTTGAGCAAGTAGGTTGAAGCCCAGGAGAGGTAGGATGAGAGGACAAGAGGACACACATAAACAGGTAATATTGTGGGAGCCAAATACAGGTATCTTGAGTAGGTGAAGAATATGACAGCTGCTCTGCTAAGTTTCAGATCTGGTCTAGAGGCAGATAAGTGTCATGATTAATAACTGTATGTCTATACTCTGAAAAGGCTCATTCTGTTAAAGCAGAATGTTCGATGCAATTATTTTTTTCAACTGATCTGGCTGGTTATCTCATCTCTGAGAAGGTAGAGGATGCAACAAGGGAATATGATTCCCTGGATTACCAACAAGGGTGAAATACAAATCACAGAAACCATTTAGAAAGGCTGTGCCAACACCATTTTGGAGTTCATGCTATTAGGAGGAGAACATGCTGGCCGTTGTTAGCTGTGTAAACCTGAACAGTGCTTGGAAAATAGATTATTGTTTTTAACTCCAGAAATCTTAAAAACATTGCAGGATGGCCAGGGAAATGCTGCACTTTCTCCTTTTTATATAAGGGTACTAATTCCATCATGAGCCCCCACTTGCACAACCTAATCAAACTCCAATTACTCCCTGAAGGCTCCAGTTTGAAATACTCTCACATGGGACCTTAGGATTTTAAGGTGTGCCTTTTAGAGGGACACAAAATTTTCAGTCTGTAAATCTTGCTGAGCTAGAATCCTTAGTTTTATCCTTCATTTCTCCTTTCTCATTCCCAATGGGATTCATAGTTTGCCTTATATATGTCTCTAGAAATAGATGTTTCTTGTTCAGCCCTCTACCGCTGCTGTTGAATAGTGTATATGGTGAGCACACTATTTCAAACTCTTCTCCCACCTCTAAGCTCACCTCTTCCCAACTTCTCATCAGTAATAGAATCTTCCTAAAAGCCAAACCTGATAACAAATTCCTGCTTTAAGATGCTGGGGTTGTAGCTCAGTGGTTGAGCGCTTGGCTCGCATGTGTGAGGCACTGGATTCTATCCTCAGCACCACATAAAAAAATAGATTTTTAAAAAATGAAGATATTGCGTCCTTCTACAACTAAACTAAAATAAATATATACATGTTTATGTACATATATATGTTTACAAAATCCTGCTTTAAGTAAACATGCTTTTTGCTATTCTTCCAATTTTGCCTTTTACTCATTTTTCTAGCAGTATATATTCAGACTTCTTTTTAAATATTTTTTTCAGTTGTAGATGCATACAATATATATATATATATATATATATATAAATAAATTGAACCCAGTTCCTCACCTGTGCAAGGCAAGCACTCTACCACTGAGCCCCAGCCCCAGCCACCGCCCAAATTCAGACTTCTTAAGTTGGAATTCAGACCCTTCATACTCTGTCCCCAACCAAATCTTTTTCCACTAAATAATGAATCAATACTGTATCCATGCTATGTCTCTTACCTCCATTTGTCTCTTTTGAGGACTTTTCTTTCTCAATCAGACCTAAGCATTTCAATTTTCTAAGCTTATTCTTAAGTCTTAAATCCAAAGTTCTGCCTGATAAGACATACATACACTTCTGACTGACTAGTGGCCGTTTGCTATTGTATATTCCATGAATTTCTTATTCTCCTTCCTTGCCCTTGAAGACTAATGCTAGGCTTGTACTCTGGGGCTTCCTAATTGGCCACCCATGCACACAATTGCTTCGAGTGGATATTGCTCAGTCACTGTTCCGTTGAAATCTAATCCCAATCTAATAGTATCTAGAAGCAGAGTCCTTGGGAAGGAATTAGTTCATGATTGTGAAGTCCTCATGAATGAAGCAAATGTACTCACCTAGAGAACTAGCTAGTTTGCTCTTTTCACCATGTGAAGTTATAACAAGGACCCTCACCAGAAGTGAACCACATTAGCACCCAGATCTCTGACTTCAAGCCACCAGAACTAGGGGAAATAAATTTCTGTTGTTGATTGTTTACTCTACAGTGCTTTGTTATAGCAGCCCAAACTGACGAAAACAGTCATAATTAACCACTATTAATTTCTGCTGTCTAGATATCTTACGTCTCTCTCTTCTCCTCCAGACTCATAGTGTATCTTCTTGACTCTTATCTAGGCAGGAGAATGTTACACTGTCACAATCATCTGATGACCCATATTAGTCTGTTCGTGCTAGTCTAACAGAATATCACAGACTGGGTGATTCATAATGAGCAGAAATTTATTGATTCACAGTTCTGGAAGCCAGAAGTCTAATATCAAGGAACCAGCTCATTTGGCGAATTCTGATTCTAAGATGGCACCTTGAGCGTGGTGTCCCCAGAGAGCAGGAAGGCTTTGTTTCCCATGGAGAAGAGCAAAGGCAAAACGGAGCCGTATTCACTCCTATGGTTGGATCCCAGGTGTCCCCTGAAAGCTCATGATTGAATTATGGGAGCTGGAACCTAATCAGCTCACTAATCTATGGTGGCTCTGGTTCCTTGCTCTCTTTCTTTTCTTTTGGGCTGCTATGACCTAAGGGACATTGCTCTATCATGATGTTCTGCCTCACCTTGGGGCCAAAGCAATGGAATTGGCCAGCCTTGCACCAAGAACCAAAATAAATGTTTCCTTCTCCAGGTTGTTCTTGTCAGGAATTTTGGTCACAGTGACTCCCAAGTTGTCTAACTCGGAAATTGGTGTCAGAAGTGAGATCGTTGTTGTGACTAACCTGGTTGTCAACAAGATTACTGCCACTAAAAAAGCCTTTGGAACTGGTTAGTGGGAAGAGGTTTGAAAAGTTTGGACATGCAGTCTGGAGAAGCCTTAGAATGTTG